TGGAATCCAAATAGTGCCTTTTAGAGAGCTGTTTCAAAGATGATTTTCAGCATTGCATCAAAGCTTGTTCAGAGAAATTTGGCCTTGTTTGGGTGTGACTCATTTTATTACTTCAGTATATGTCTGTAATGCATATACTCTATTTTTTCCCTTTTATTGAAGCATTATACACAGAAATTTGCACATAACACATTTTCATAAGATGGTTCACCCATATAACTAGCACCTAGATGAATTTACTTTTGTTAATGCTTAATTGTGTTGTTTGAAATATAAATGGGTTTATATGAATCTTCTGTGTACACTGGAAACAATGTGACCTTTAAACTTTTTCCTTGTCATTTTGTGTGAGCATGTTTCCTGGTACCTAATATATTTAAGAATTAGCTAATTATTCAACTAGTGTTATCTTGTATATTAATATTAATTATTGATGTGTAATGCTGCCTGCTTTTTTGCAGTGAAAACGATTAACCTGAGAAATATGTTCTAACTGCTTTTTAAATATTTGACAGTAAGTGTATTGAAGGGGAAAGTTGTGTATATTTAGCTACGTTAAGAAAAATTACCTAAAACTTGGAAGCCAAAAGAATTCTTTTGGTTCTTTTAGTCCCTTGTCAGGAATATTGTGTAACAGGCTTACCCCAGGGATAGTTAATCCTAATTCCAATTCCTGTGCTTGACTTGACTGTTATGGAATAGAGCGTAGACACTGGGAAATTGCCTTTAGCTTATCGCTGTTTGTTCGGTAGAAAGGGTAACCCTAAATGTTATGATTTTATTGTCTTGTAGAACATTACTAGCTTTTTATCTGACCTACTTGACTTATTTTAATGCTTTTTAAGAAATGCCTTTTCTGCGGAACTGTATAAACCTGTCCCACAAATGCTGTCGGAACCAGCTTTACCATCTACTAGTTCCCTCATCAGTTAATGAGTCAAATACAATTTTTGATGTATGTTTATTCTCTGTCATGTCAGTGCCATTTTTTGAAAGTTAAAGTTTAGTACAACCATAGCATTTCTGTCCTGTACCTCCACACTCTACCTAGGAATTGACTTTCTAGGGCGTGCAAAGCCATGCACCAGGATTCCAAACTCTGTGAGTGGAACTACTGTCCTAATTGCCATTGTACATCTTTAAAGAAAGCTTATCATGTAAAAGGTTTAATACTTAAACTGTCCTAATGAGTTACTTTTATTTTTTTCCCCAGGCATAAGCACATAAAGCAGTCACTGCAGAGAGAATAGCATTTTGAGAAATTTTCCAGTCACAATTGATAGAAGAAAAAGCAGTAGAGAAGTACATCCTCTTGTGTGTGTACCTCCGTGGTCTGCTGTTTATAATTCAGCTTAGTGATGAACCCACCATTATGTCTTCAGTCAGCGAAGTAAATGTGGATATCAGAGATTTCCTGATGAGCATTAATTTGGAGCAGTATCTCTCGTGTTTCCATGAGTCTGGTTATAACACTGTGAAGGACTGTGAGGCGATAAATGATAGCGTGTTGCACAGGATTGGAATATCACCTACAGGCCACCGCCGGCGGATTCTTAAACAGTTACAAATAATCTTATCAAAAATGCAGGACATCTCAATATATGCAAACATTCATAAAACAAAGAAAAATGACACTTCAAAGGATCACCAGGCTCCTTCTTCTGATCAGCATACTTGTGTAGATCGTTCAGATGCTGGTAGCGTTCCCACAACCAGCCCACCACAGTTAGACACTGTTACAAAAAATCTTGATGAAAATGATGTTACTGTGGAAAATAGCCAATCTCTGCGATCAGATGATAAACTGTCTCCTAACAGTGACCTTCCCATTTCAGAAGAACTACATCCCAACTTGGAGTCTGTTCATGATAGTGAAGATATTAACATAGAATCTGCGATTATGAAGAAGACTGTGGATTGCACAATTGAAGAACCACAAACAGAAAAAGTTAATTTGATCTCAGAAAATCTCAGTAAGCTTCCTGAGGCAGACCCTGAATGTTTTTCTTTTGTTGGCTGTTCTGGAAACAAATCTGATGCAAATTCT